CAGCAACCATTTATGATTAAAACTCTTCAAAAAATGGGCATAGAAGGAACCTACCTCAACATAGTAAAGGTCATATATAATAAGCCTATAGCAAAGATTATTCTCAATGGTGAAAAACTGAAAGCATTCCCCCTAAGATCAGGAACAAGACAATGGTGTCCACTTTCACCACTATTATTCAACATAGTTCTGGAATTCCTAGCTAAAGCAATCAGAGAAGAAAAAGATATAAAAGGAATCCATAACAGAAAAGAACTAAAGCTCTCACTGTTTGCAGATGACATGATACTGTACATAGAAAACCCTAAAGATACTATCAGAAAATTACTAAAACTAATCAGTGAATTTAGCAAAGTTGCAGGATACAAAATCAATACACAGAAATCACTTGCATTTCTGTATACTAACAATGAAAAATCAGAAAGAGAAATTAAGTAATCAATCCCATTCACCACTGCAACAAAAAAAATTAAATATCTAGGAATAACCTACCTAAGGAGACAAAAGAACTGTACCCAAAAAATTATAAGATACTAATGAAAGAAATCAAAGATGACATAAACAAATGGAGAGATATTCCATGTTCCTGAGTAGGAAGAAACAATATTGTGAAAATGATTATACTACCAAATGCAATCTACAGATTCAATGTGATCCCTATGAAATTACCAATGGCATTTTTCACAGAATTAGAACAAACAATTTCACAATTCATATGGAAACACAAAAGACCCTGAATAGCCAAAGCCATCTTGAGAAAGAGTAATGGAGCTGAAGGAATCAACCTTCCTGACTTCAGACTATACTACAAAGCTACAGTCATCAAGACAGTATGGTACTGGCACAAAAACAGAAATACAGACCAACAGAGCAAGATAGAAAGCTCAGAAATAAACCCATGCACCTCTGGGTAACTTATTTTTGACAAAGGAGGCAAGAATATACAATGGGGCAAAGATAGCCTCTTCAAGAAATGGTGCGGGGAAAACTGGACAGCTACATGTAAAAGAATGAAATTAGAACACTTCCTAACACCATACACAAAGATAAACTCAAAATGGATTAAAGGTCTAAATGTAAGACCAGAAACTATAAAACTGTTAGAGGAAAACATAGGCAGAACACTTGATGACATAAAGCAAGATCTTCTATGACCCACCTCCTAGAGTAACAGAAATAAAAACAAAAGTAAACAAGTGGGAACTGATTAAACCTAAAAGCTTTTGCACAGCAAAGGACACTATAGGCAAGGGGAAAAGACAACCCTCAGAATGGGAGAAAATAATAGCAAATGAAGCAACTGACAAAGGATTAATTTTCAAAATATACAAGCAGCTCATACACCTCCATACCAGAAAAACAAACAACCCAATCAAAAAATGGGTAAAAAACCTAAACAGACATTTCTTCAAAGATGACATACAGATGACTAACAAACACATGAAAAGACGCTCAATATCACTCATTATTAGAGAAATGCAAATCAAAACTACAATGAGATATCACCTCACACCACACAAAAAAACGTACGTCTAGTTAAAGCTATGATTTTTCCAGTAGTCATGTATGGATATGAGAGCTGGACTATAAAGAAAGCTGAGCACCAAAGAATTGATGCTTTTGAATTGTGGTGTTGGAGAAGACTCTCGAGAGTCCGTTGGACTGCAAGGCAATCAAACCAGTCAATCGTAAAGAAATCAGAACAGCATATTCATTGGAAGGACTGATCCTGAAGCTGAAACTCCAATACTCTGGCCACCTGATGCATAGAACTAACTCATTTGAAAAGACCCTGATGCTGGGTCTTTTCCCAGCATTGATTGAAGTCAGAAGGAGAAGAGGATGACTGGGGATGAGATGGTTGGATGGCATCACCAACACAATAGACATGAGTTTGAGTAAATTCCGGGGGTTGGTGATGGACAAGGAGGCCTGGCGTGCTGCAGTCCATGGGGTGACAAAGAGTCAGACACGAATGAGCGTCTGAACTGAACTGATCACCTGACACTGGTCAGAATGGCCTTCATCAAAAAGTCTACAAACAATAAATGCTGGAGAGGGTGTGGAGGAAAGGGAATGCTCTTGCACTGTTGGTGGGAATGTAAATTGATAGAGCCACTATGGAAGACAGTATGGAGATTCCTTAAAAAACTAGGAATAACACCACCATATGACCCAGCAATACCACTCCTAGGCATATACCCTGAGGAAACCAAAATTGAAAAAGAAACATGTATCCTATTGTTCATTGCAGCACTGTTTACAATAGCTAGAACATGGAAGCAACCTAGATGTCCATCGACAGATGAATGGATAAAGAAGTTTTGGTACACATACACAATGGAACATTACTCAGTCATAAAAAGGAACGCATTTGAGTCTGTTCTGGTGAGGTGGATGAACCTAGAACTGATTGTATTATACAGAGTGAAATGATTCAGAAAGAAAAGAAAGAAATATCGTATTGTAACGCATATATATGGAATCTAGAAAAATGGTACTGAAGAATTTATTTGCAGGGTAGGAAAGGAGAAATAGACATAGAGAATAGAATTATGGACACGGGGAGAGGGGAGGAGAGGGTGAAATGTATGGAAAGAGTAACATGGAAACTTCCATTACCATATGTAAAATAGATAGCCAACGGAAATTTGCTGTGTGTCTCAGGAAACTCAAACAAGGGGCTCTGTATCAGCCTAGAGGGGTGGGATGGGAAGGGACTGGGAGTTTCAAAAGGGAGGGGATATATGTATACCTATGGCTGAAATCTGAGCCTCCAGGGAAGCCCGAAGTGAAGTATACAGCCTGGTATTTTTTTCAATTACAATCATTGTAACAGGTGTGCTGATTTCCTGACACTGATGTTTTCAAGGCATCCAGGCAGAAGGGTCTCAGTATCTCACCCTGTGTCCTGACAGTTACATTGCTGGGGGTACTGCCCTGTTTGGGGGATCCCAAACAGAACCTCCCCAGGGAAACTTCAGTCTAGGTGGTACAGATGCAGAAGAAGGTCTCACAAGAAAAAGCCCAGAGTAGATGGCCTGATTTTGGGAAATAATGACTCTGAATTTGGCCTGTCTTAAGGAAACAATGACTCTGAGCTTGCATCCTGCTCTGAAGTTAATATGTCTTCCTCAGGACCGGCACCTAGTTTCCTATCAGGATGGATCTATTTTTCCAGTTTTGCCACCAAAGGACAAATGAAAATGCCATTCGACATTCTGCTTTCCAATTAAAAGTTGAGCCATTTCTTTAAAAAAAAACCACACATTTAACTAAACATTCGCACACGGCAATAAAGCACTGTGCTCTCCCGCCTTGATGCACAGCCCCATTTGCAGTTATTTAGAGGGGAGGCAGGAAGATTGTTACAGACAGCCAGATTAAGCCGCCCCAATCCCTGTTAGCGTCTTTCTGTGCTCCGAGAGTAAAACAGTGCAGCATTCATGTAAACTAACTCAATATCCTGCGTTTAAATAAGCCCAAACAAAAAATAAAACTCACAAGACTGGAAGCTCTCAGGAAGAAGAGATCTACTTTTTTAAGAAAGTGGCCTGGCTGGGGGTAGAGGAAACACCAGACACATCTCTGGTCAACAGGTCAAGGCTCCCACCCGAGAGGACACTGGAGTGAGTGAAAAGGGCCCCCAGCTTTGTGACAGAAGCGGCTTTCAAGGCGAACGAGCAAGATGGTGCCAGGGAGAGAAAAACCAGACGCTGTTCACACTGGCAGTGGGCCTCACATGGAATATGTAGTACTCCGAGTTTCCAGGAATGGGAAGTTACTATTTGTCCCTGCCTATTTCCTAGGAATGGTGGGAGAAGGAACTCTGGTGGTGAGTATAGAAGCACTTTCTGAAAGGGGAAGAACTCATCAAATGTAGCAGAAAACTGCTGGTTACTGGCAGGTGGCTGGAATGAGTCCTCTTAAGAGGATGGTGACCAACAAAACAGATAAAATAAGTAAGGAACATATTTGGGATATTCAACAGGTTCAGTAAAAGCAGGTGAGCAAAGGAATCTACTGACAATAATTTAAAGCAAAAAAAAAAAAAAGGTTTGGAGCAGGGAGGTGGGCTCAGATGCAACTCTGTTGATTGAGGCAGTCTGGAGGATCATATGGATGAATAGATGGGTGGGTGGGTGGAGGAGGGGTCTGCCATCCAGCAGACAAGAGGGCCACAGACAGAGCATGACCAAACCCCACCTCCTGCAATCCCATTCACCACCCACGGAGAGGCGGAGTGGGGTGGGGAGCCACGCTTCCAAGGTCACTGGTTCCCCGACCTGCCTGTCACCTTCCTTCCCCTCAAGCTTCTGGATCACAGCTCTTAATGTGGAACCAAAGTGCCCACGAAAAAGAAAGACTAGATATGAAAGCTTTGCTTCATTTCCCCAATAGCCAAAACACAAAAAGCAACCAGAGATTAGAAATCTCTGATGAGTGCTCAAAGCATAAAATCAATTTGAGAAGGATTTGTAGTATAGGCCCTATAAGGGTGGAATGGTGGAGGTACTAGTGAATCTACACATGAGGTGACCACTACTCATTTGATAAATGTTCATGGAGGCAGCTTCTATGTCTGAGGCACAGTTCAGATACATCGTAAAGAAGTGACTGGGGGAAACATGCAAACAGGTAACTATAATCAGCATGGAAGTGCTACGACGGGGTGAGGGTCACAGAAAGCAGCCCCCACATTCCGCACGGCTGCGGGAGGGCAGAGAGGAGGGCCACAGAGTGGCCCCCGGGATACAGGTCAGTAAGGAGAACGCGGTACAGTGGGGGTTCAAAGGCAGGAGAAAGCACACCAGCCAGAGGGGAAAGCCCTCGTTTCCGAGGCGGCAGCCACGGGTGAAGGCAAACCAGGGCGTGGCCGGGCAGAGGCAGGTAAAATATTACACACAGGGCTGGGTATGTCCAAGGAGCAACAGGGACCCTCCAAACACGGCTTTCCCTCTTAAGAGGACTTTAGCAGACACGAATTTGCTTCTATTTACCTTTTTTTCAACTTCCAAGAACTGTTGCTTCAGTCGTTTCAGCAAACTGACTTCCAGGAAAGGCGACTTGGATTATTCCTGTTGAGAAATCAGAAGAGGTGTAATAGGATTGGTGGGATTGCTTTCTGCAGACCTCCTGTGACTCTGCCACCAAGTCCCTGCTGAGAGGGCGGTCAGGTGGCTCCCCTGCCCCTGCTGCTCCTCACCAGCCCTCACCCGGTCCACCCCTCCCTCCAGCACACCAGGCGGGATCCCAGGCCCCAGCCGGGGGAGCTGCCTCCCCAGCCCCCAGCACGGAGGTCAGGCTGTTCCCTGCATTCCTGAGGCTCCTGCCACAGACCCTCTGCTGACTTAAGCTGGAAAGAGAGCATTTCTTTTCCTTGCAACCAAAAGTTATTTATTTAGAACGATGAGATCCAGGGTTGGGACTAAAAAAACAAAAGTAGAGGGTGACGAAATAGACTTCTGAGACAAAGCCTCAGGAAAAATAAAAGATGAGAGACAGTGACCTGGGCCTCTCAACTACTGTCCCATAATATCTAAGAGGAGAGGAAGACAGAGAGGTGTGAAACCCAGAGAGGAGGCCCAGCAAACAAGTCATACAATCTCGGCGGTATTCAATACTAGGACGGAGACCCAGACACTGGGGAAAGAGGGCTCCTAATATGGGTATTACCCATAACAGAATAAAAAAAGAATTTCAATAAAAATATAAAGGTGAGAGACTCTGAAAGTTTCTACAGCACATGAGGAATAACTGAGTAACCATACAATGCCTATCAATACTACAATGAGAAGTGAAATAATTTAAAGATAAGTTTTGATGTACTGTGCTGTCCTATTTTGGTCTTAATAAACATTTTATTTACTCATGGTTGGTGGGTCAACAATTAGTGCTGGGCTCAGTGGGGTGGTTTTTCTTCTGGTCTTGCCTTGTTTACCCATGTGGCCACAGGCATCTGTGACTCAGCTGAGCCACATGGTAGACCAGCTGCCTCAGTTCACATACTAGTGATTGGTACTAGTTATTCATGCTGTCTTTAGAGTCTATTTTAGTAAATGCAAACATTTTTCTCCCCTAAGATCTTGAAAGATTTATGCCAACCATCCCCTTGACCTGATTTTCCAATGGTTTCTCAGTGGGTCAACCATGAAATCACCTACTGTAGGGCTTCAGGACTCTAATCCCTTCTAATCCCTCTTCTAGGGAGTAAAATTTCCATGAAGTTTAAAGATAAGGGCTATGAAAGGGAGGGCTGGGAGGCAGGACTAGAAAGTGGATGGTTTTTCAGGGGGTCTGAACACCAAGTTAAATTGCATGCATGCTCACTCAGTCATGTCTGACTCTTTGCAACCCCGTGAACTGTAACCCACCAAGCTCATCTGTCCGTGAGATTTCTCAGGCAAGAACACTGGAGTGGGTTGCCAATTCTTACTCCAGGGGATCTGCCTGACCCAAGGATTGAACCAGCATCTCCTGCAGTGGCAGGCACATTCTTTACCACAGTACCACTTGGGAAGCCCCAAGTTAAGTTGGATGGACTTTATTCAAGCAGCTTAAGAGTCAAGATGACTGTAGGCTGATCCCATATTGTCTGAGAGATAATTACCACTCTGAAAATGTAGAATGTTAAAATTGGGCTACAGAGGGAAAATACGACCCAAAGCACAAAGACGAAAGCAGTCAGCTGGAAATTAAGTCGACAGTAGCCATGATCTTTACCCTTGACAGGGTACTTTGCCTGCTGTTGTTGGCTCATTAGCTGCAGCAAGGGCTTCATGAGCATCTCCTGGCTTCGGGCCTTCTAGGCAGCTTGGTGCTCCAGGGGTTCACTGGAGCATCAGCATTCACCCTGCGGGGTACAGACCAGCGACAGGGATACCAGCTGGCCTGCAAAGCAGGCTGAAGGGCAGCGATCCTGTCTGCTCACCCCAGACCTGGCCCCCAGGAGGCCAGCATCCATCCCCATCTGTCCGTTCCAAGCAGCAGAGGCACCTGCTCTAATCTCAGCCCTACCTTCTCCTCTCTAGGCTTGTTTCCTTATCCACAAAACCGGGGAGGGAGACAGGACTCATGACCCTCAGAGGGCGGTCTGCAGACCAGACCTCTCTGCTGCTGGTTCACAACAAGCCAAGTAAAGAAATTAAGAGCAGTTCAAAAGCTTTTAGTGCTTATGACACTGCTACACAGCCAAGCACATGATCAGGGAGACTGTCTTGCTGAACAGAGCACAGACTTTTGTATGAGTTTCCTGCAAATGCAATAAAAAAAAAATCACCACAAACTGAGCAGCATAGCACAACAGAAATTTATCCTCTCACAGTTCTGGGGGCCAGAAGCTGAAATCAAGGTGTTGGTGAGGCCACATGCCCTCTAGCCTCTAGGGGAGAGTCCGTTCCTGGCCTCTTTCAGCTGCTGGTGACTGCTGGCATTCCTTGGCTTGTGGCCGCACCAGTCTTTCCTTTCAGTGCCTTCTCATGTGTACACATGTGTGTGTGTGTTTGTCTGTGTGCGTGTACGCAAAATCACTCTCTTCCTTTCTAAGGACACCTGTGGTCACATTTAGGACCTACCTAGATATAACCCAATATTCCCAGGTGCTGCAGTGGTAAAGAATCCATCTGCCAAAGCAGGAGACACAAGAGACACAGGTTTAATTCCTAGGTCGGGAAGATCCTCTAGAAAAGGAAATGGCAACCCACTCCAGTACTCTTGCCTGGAAAGTTCCACCGACAGAGAAGCCTGGTGGGCTACAGTTCATGGGGTCGCAAAGAATCAGACATGACTGAGCACACAGTCACACACCTAGATAACACAAGATGTGTGTGTGTGTGTGTGTGTGTGTGTGTGTGTGTATTAGTTGCTCAGTCATGTCTAACTCTGCAACCCCATGAACTGCAGTCCACCAGCCTCCTCCGTCCACGGAATTCTCCAGGTAACAATACTGGAGTGGGTTGCCATTCCCTTCTCCAGGGGATCTTCCCGACCCAGGGATCAAACCTGGGTCTCTTGCACTGGCAGGCAGATTCTTTACCATCTGAGCCACCAGGAAAGCCTCAACCCAAGATGACCTCATCTCCAATCCTTATCTGAATTACATCTACAAAGATTTTTTTTCCAAATAAGGTCAGATTACTCAGACACATCTTTGGGGCCACCATACAGCCCACCCACCTCAACTGGTTCAGATACTGTGGACTTCATGTGCGACCAGCTGTTACATGGTGTGCACTGTACACTCATACTAGTTCACAACTGGAAGAGAAAACCACTGCCCTGACTTTTGCTCTGCTGGGAGCCTGGCTCCGCCGCTACAGCCCAGGAGCCCGGGTGAGATCAGCCTGGAACCACCAGGAAAGGAAGGGAGGCTGACAGGAGGCCGGGGCATGGGGCAGGCCCCCTCACCAGCAGGCAGTGCAGGGGCCACTCCTCTCTACCTGCCCCCAAACAGCTTTAGCTGTGAAGGGATTAAATTCATCCTCTGTTGCTGTTGCTGTTGTTCAAGGGTGCCTCCCTCATCCCATGATGCTCAGAATTTTCAATGTCCGAGTTTGAGAACAGAAACAAAACTGTTTGATTAGAATCCTTGTGTCCATAGCACTGTCTTACTAGTAATATTTGCTTCCCAGCAACATCCTGCCCTATAACTTTTAAAACACTCAGATCCAGGCTTCATAACAGGATGGAAGAGGCACCTGGAAATCTGACAAAGCAAGGATTTCATTTCTCATTAGAAGCTTGCTTGCCTTGCAGGAGCATTCCTTGGCAAAGAAACTACAATTCTGAGTCCTTTTCCATGTCACATTTCAGCCTTAAGGGCAGACCATGCCAAAATATGTGAGGATGTTTAAATAACAACACTCAATCCAGGTATGGCCATAGCAAAGTGGCTACTCTCATCATTCAACTAGGAGTATGAAAGGCAAAATCTTTCTGGAAGTAATTTGGCAAATTCTTATTAAATGGTTTAAAACTGTACACACCCTCTGATATTAAAAATCCATTTTCAGAACTCTACCCTAGGAAATGAATCTGAAATAGGGACAAAACTTAATGCTCAAGGGTATCCACAGCAATGTTTTACATGAGATTAAAAAAACTGGAAATAAAGTTAATAGTCAACGAAAGAAAATGACTAGACAAATTATGGTAGATTTGTCAATAATGTCTTATGCAGCCATGAAAAGGACATTTTACAAAGAATTTCTAATAAAAATACCAACTACAATAGCAACAGCTAATCCTTATATGGGTCAAACACTGTCCTAAGTTTATCAGGTGCTTTACAAACATTAACCCTCTTAATCCTCAGCTTGCTAACGTTATTATTCCTGGTTTACAGATCAGAAAATGGAGGCACCAATAGTTAAGACATGCTCAAGATCACCCTGCTAGTAAGAGACCGCACGGGGTCTGAGCCCACCCAGTCTGGCTCAAAAGTCTATGCTCTTGAATCCTCTGACAGTCTGAATAATGGTCCCCAAAGGTAACAGGTCCTAATGCTACCTTGGGTAGATATGGCACCTCTGCCAGTGAAGAATCTTAAGATAGAGAGACATCCTTGATCATCAGGTGGGCCCTAGATGCCCTCCCAAATGCTCTCACAAGAGAGGCAGAGGGAGATTTCACACACACAGACTCACACACACACACACACACACACACACACACACGAAAGGCAGATGCAAACAGAGGCAGGTTGAAGAGACGGGGCCACCTGCCAGGATCGCCCGCAGGCACCAGAAACCGAGGATCGAGGGGTGCACTCCCCCGACGAGCCTCCAGGGGGCGCACCCTGCCCAGGCCCGGCTCAGACTTCTCGCCTCCAGAACTGAGGGAATCCATTTCCATGGTCTTAAGACATCCAGTTTGTGGAAATCGGCAGCCAGAGGAAACTAATATAAGTTCCCATGCTGTAGTGCTCTCAATGCAAGATAAAATATGCTAAATGGGAAAAGGAGAAATCAAAATTTATACACAATGATCTTAATTATGCACTTAAAATGCATGCAAATACAACAAAACGTTTTGTAGTGATTATCTTTGAATACTAGAAATTATGGGTAATTTTCAGAAT